AAAAAAAAAAAAAAAAAAAAAAAAAAAAAAAAAACAAAAACAAGAAACAACCAAAACCCCAAAACCACACCCAAATAAAACAACCCACCACCATTCCATGCATCTTAAATATTCCACGAGCAAAAAGGAAACATAAAGCTATTTGACTTTCCACATTTGATCACAAACACACTATTGCACAGTTCTCCCACTGACTCATCCTCTCCACTGTTTAGGAATACACATTCTTCCCCTATGTTTGATATAGGATACATGTATTCTTTCTTTACAATTAAATACAATTTGAGTAAGAACAGCACCCGCCTTGAAACCTGTCCTCCAAGTTTCATTGAAATAGCACTGGGCTACTCTAAACATCAAAACCCTCAAATGCTGAGCCATTAAAACAAGCATGTGTTAGACTTACCATCATTCTAACATCACTCCTTTTGCATCTTTAAAAGTCAAGAAGATGGATTAGTAATGAGTGAAAGAGAAATAAATGCTTTACAGGTTAGTATTCATGTTAGTTCTAAAATTCAGGTTAGAACTTGCTACTACTCAGCATGCCAATAGGTGAACATAATAGCAAAAAAAAAATTCAATGTCATCCCTTTTTCACTGTAAATTTCCCTCACCTTAAGTGCTATCAGTCTCTCAACACCATGAGAGTTGCCCCAACCCAAGGAAATACAGAAATAATAGAGTGGTAAGGATAGATTTTGCTGTGATCATTAAGTATTTCACCCAAATAAATCTTTATGAATTAACATCAGTTTTCAATAGGAGTCCCTTAAAAGCTGGACATTTTGCAAAGCAAAGAGGGTGGACATAGTATAGTGAGATACTAGATTTGTCCTAAAACAGCCAAACAGTGCCTCTGGCTAGCAAGCATGGTGGCATAAAACAGAGAGTGTGGAGCTGCAGGCAACCTTTTATTGAGAAATCAAGCTCTCACTGACTCACAGAGCCACATAAGTTGCATCTGCCATCTTAGAGTTGTGGTAGTGGCAACTAGAACTATCTTTATCCATAATTAATCCCTTAATGAGAAGATAAACCTTGAATATCACCTACCATTTAGTGGTTCTTCTACAGCTTTCTGCAAAACATTTAAAAATATATATATGTATAAAAAGCCTTCATGTTTACTTCTGGCTGGCCACAGTTAAATTACTCTAATTGACATATACAGTAAGTAGTGATTCTATAAAAATGAAGAAAGCTTAATGTTAATCAAATTAATGACTAAAGCTTTGGAAAAAAGATTATCAGTCAATAGCTGCATTCTCCAAGTAGTTTTCCCTTACTGTAAAGTTTACCCAGATGAGATACCCCTAGGTGGCAGCGGAAGCCATGCAGATATTACTTTTAAGCTCTAAAACCTAACTGATATTTTCTGTCATTTGATCAATGGTTAGTAACAAAACAGCACAACTAAAAAAGAAAAGAAAATTAGTAGCCAAGCAAATCAAGTGGAATCTCCTCAGAAAGAAATACATGACAGCTGTGCATTTAGTCTGGTAGACAATCATCAGAAACAACACATGCAACCTACAGAAATGCTAAAAAAAAAAAATCAGTACTTGGTTAAGATGGCAGATTTCAAAAACACATCTTTTTGCCCTCTGACTCAGGAAAATTTCAATAATAATTTTTTAAGCATGCCCCAGTGTGAAAATGATGCCCTTCACCAATATTAAGTTTTCCACAGTCATTAGATGACACAGAATCAAAGTGTATTCTTAAAACTACTTCAAACCTATTTACTGCCTCAAAGCACAGCAATATAGGCCGAAGAGCCCTTGATGGAAACAAGCAGCATGTTAACACACTCCAGTTTCCACCAGGAATTTCCCTAGCAGCCCTAAGTTCATAAACACAAATTATATCACTTGAATTCCTCTGTAACTAGCCCTCACCTATCTGCAGCTGCAAAGAATATATTTGTACTAGCTGAGGTTTCCAATGACATCTAAGTTTTAAAAACTTCTTTTGATTTCATTTCTGTCCCAAATTCAGAGAGTAACATGATGTTCATTCCTGTGCTGCTGTGGCTATTTATTTCTCAATTCTTTGCTGCCATGGAAGACCACCTTGTGGGAAGAGCAGCTCATAAAGAGAACAGCGTTCCCATCAAAGGATGCTATTTTGCATGCTTTTATTTACAAGCAAAGTTTATTTACAAGCAAAACTAAGTTAAGGAAAAAAACCCCACCCTCCTCTTGCCCTGTTTACTTCCCTTCTACAAGTAAGCACAAGGATGTTGGATAAAGGCAAGATTTCATTTTGAATGAAGCATACTTTCAATTCACTTCTCAGCTCATTTTTATAACATCTCTTAGCCTCTTTCTTCCATTTTTTAAAGCTCTGTGCATTTATATTCCTTCCATAAAGACTAATCCTCTGAAATACTACTTCTTACAATGACAATGAATAAGCAAAAGGAAATAATAATAAAAAAAAAAAAACTAAAAATCTCTTGTCCTAACTGCAGTCAGCTCTACTGTTAGAAACCATCTTCCTTCAACAGCTGGGTCTCAGGCTTTAGACTGGAGACCTGAAAATGTGTCTCAAATGATGGCTGGCATCCAGGAGGTGGGCTGAGTTAGTATTTGCCAGATCGCCCTGCTGCAAGGAAGTTTCACTGGTGTTCTACAGCTGCACCTCTTTCCTTGCTTCTGGAAAACACCAGAAATCAGGCAGTTCACATTCATGGATCACTCAAAAGCACTGTGTGAGTCTGTGAAAATTACTGTTTAGGAAATTATTATTCTACAATTCAAAACTAACAACTGAAAAACTTTCTTTAAAAAAAGACAAAGTATTTTTCAATTTGTTCTGTGTTACCTAAAGACAGGCACTTTCTTTTCAGAAGGTCTCATCAAATTATGGGGCATTTAAGGAAAATCAGAAAAAAGTTCAAGGTTATGCCATCTGTATAGCCAGGAACTGAAGAGAATATCAAAGAGTTCTGGTCTACAAGACCACAGGAAAAAACCTTTTAAGCCTTTCTTACAAGCCATCTGGATGTTTTACACTCACATTAACAAAAAAGCTTTTTAATAAGGTGAGCAAAATGGCTTTTAAATATTCAGTTAGAAGAGTGCACTGTAAAAGAACATCAAACTTCCACCACCTTTCAGTGACAGCAATGGAAACTCCATCTGGGCACAACAGTCAGAGTAAGCCTATGTCAGGGTGGCAATTACAGTACCACAGACACACTCAGTAGGGACAATGGAGACCACCAACTCACTCAACATTAGACATCCGTTACACAGCCAGAACTGTTGCTTGCTACCAACCTGGTCTGAATTCGAACTAGTGAAGAAAGGTTCAGTATCTCACTACAATCCCCTGAGCCATCTAGTCACCCCAAATTTATTAATTTTAAGCTTACCCCCGGATGAGGATGATCTTTCATTCTGGAACCTAAAATAATTACAAAAAAGTGACCAAGCAGATGAATAAATGTTACAATTAACCAAATAAAAACACAGAACCATAGAATTGTTAAGGTTGAAGAAGACCTCTCAGAACATCAAGCTCAAGCAATCAGCAAGCCCAACCCAAGCAACATCACCACCACTAACCCATGTCTCCCAAGGGGCTAAACATCACTTCCAGCGACTGTGATTTCACCATGTCCTGGGCAGCCTGTTTCAATCTTTGACCACTCTTTCAGAGAAAAAAATTTTCCTAATATCCAATCTAAATATTCCCCAGCACAACTTGAGGCCATTTCCTCTCATCTTGTCACTTGTTACCTTGGAAAAGGTATTGTCTACTGATAAAACTTGCAACAGAGTTGTAACACACAGAATTGCAGCTTCCTTGTCCAAAGGTAATTAATTCTATGATCTGGAAATCTTAGAGCCTCTAAGCACATTTCTGTTTAGGAAACAGAATAATCTTATCACATACAGCAACTGAATGGCTCCATTCATGCACTCAGCTCCAAAGGTGAATTAGGTTACTCACTATTCATTGTGCTTATTTTGGCATGCTAGAATCTACCCCAACAGTCACATCTGACTTCTTCAGCCAGCAAAATCAAACCAGAAATGCAACATTTATGCAGACCATTAACACATAGCATTGAATACTATACAAATCAAAGTAAACCAAAGTCAATAAAACAAATTTATTGCTGTTATTAAAAGGCTTGATTCGCATCTGCCATATTTTTGACTCATCTTCATTTAACTTGGATATCAAATATTAGGCACTCTGCCTTAACTTCTCTACTGGAAATTCTCCCTGTCTCAGGGTCTATTTCTGGCCATGCCCACACATGGTGTGCACACATCAACCTGGGAGCCTGCACGGTTCAGCGCAGACTTGTGACTGCACTCACTGCAAACACTTCAGCAACCTGAGCCTGGAAACAACATATCCTCAGCTGCACAGTTCTCTGTCCACAGAGGGTGGACAACCAACAAGAGCCTGTGCATAGCTTGAAACCAAAGCCACTCTGACCCAAGCTGCAGAGTCCATGCAATGTTATGCTGTGGGGTGCCAGCATTCCAGTCAAACAGCATTGCTAGGTTTGCTTATTTAGCACATCTTTAAATCTCTCATCTTTTGAGATCTGATGAACAGATCAGTTTCTGAAACAATGCCTTGCTATTCTTTTCTCCTGGGTTTTAAAATTAAGCAGGAGGGAAACCAGGGTTCACTAAAATGAAAGGTATGCCTTCAAATTGCTCTTCTTTTAACCTACCTCTAACTAGTGCGAATCAGTGGGCAGATTTTTGCTTCTTTAAATCCATGTTTTGATAAGGTTTTGTCACCACCATCCCACAACCCACTCCACAGAATCCTTTACACCCTTTTGCTCTCTTCATTCTAAGATCCAGCTGGCCAACTGTGTAAATGCAGAACTGAAACAGCAACATCCCTCCTACAACTGAAACACTCTTACTTAAGAAACCTGGCTGTGTTGATCTTGAAACAGTTTATGATGATAAACTGTGGGTTTCTTAACTCAAGATTCCCCACACACTTTATGAAACAAAGCCAACACATACAGACAACTTCTCAGCAATTTTTATAACTATGTAACTGTGAAATCACTCCTTGTGCTCAGATAAATTATGTCCACTTAAAAGGAAAATAATGCAGAATATTAGGTGCTACTTACCCATAATTAAAATGTAAGCCAGACTAAGCAAACTTGCAATAGCCATAATAGCTGAGCCAGCAATCAGAACAGACCCATGTAATGGAGGACAGGCTGGGAAAAAACACAATAAAAGAACTGTGTCAATTGACACAAAAAAAGCACAAACACTTATTTTCAGATATAACTGCTTAGTAAAATAAATAAACCTGATACAGACAGGCATGTTTAATTTCACTTTCAAAACTATCCCAGAACTACTCCTGCATATTTCTTTCTTGTATGCATTCTTTAATGATACAGAGGCATTTACTGATTCATCCTGCTTAGCTGATACATCTTCAATCCCAACTGTTTTGGCCTATAATTGTATTACATGACGGAATACAATACTGTTGTTGTTACAACAATTTGTCAGCTCAACCCAGGATGAGCTGATTCTTCTGACAGTTCAGGGCCACTGAGCTGAACTCCCCAGAGATACAGGTAACACTACAATGTATCTATTGGAGAAGAGCACCCTGAAAAAAACTAGGGACACTTCACATTTACCAGCATTATAAAACATCCTCAAAAAAAATCCTTGTATTAATGCTTTACCAGAAATCTCTCATCAGTTTATTTTACTATTATAACTTACAGAACTTACAAATACTTCTGTAAATACTAAACAAAAAAGCATAAAATTTAAATCACAACTCCACTGAAAGGGCTGTCATTTCACCCAGACTGAACAAATCTTTAGAAACCATTTCAAGGAGAAATAGGTCTTAAATCCCCAAACCAATGACTAAAATGAAGAGTATCTGCACAAAACAATAAATCAGGAACATAAAGTGCCTACGAGGAACACGAATATGCATTCTCCTACTAAATATATTGCCAAGGACAACTGGTCCTAAACTGACCCTCTTCTCTGCTGGGGGGGTCTCTGGTGGCACAGGGGAAGGCAGGGAGGCAACAAAGGGAGGCCAGAGGCAGGGGGAGAGACATCACCGTGAGTGGTGGTTAGCTGGTGTTCCCTCACCACAGGGACAGTAACTCTTTCAGTGATGAAACACAGTGTCAGCCACAACCACACTTACAACAGCCCGAGAACAAATCCAGATTTACTGTTTCTACATTTACCTTCTTCATGTGTTTTAATGGTATTCATTGAAATATTAATGGACTCAGTTTAGCAAGGAATGTCTGATTTAATCACTTAACATGTGAAAATTATTATTTAATTTCTAAATACCCTAGGCCCCAGTAAGAATAACAATAGTCACCCAAAATCAACACTAACATGCAAAATTAAAACAATTAACTTTTTTTTTAAAGCAGATGCTCACAGAATGCAGTCATGAAACTGATGTATGTAATACTTCCTTTAGGCTATTCTTCTTTCATCACATATAAGTATTAGCACAGTAGTCCTAAACTACATTTACAGAAGTTACTAGTTAACATTCCATGTAGTAAAGCCATTTTCACAAAGTTTAAGTGTTAGAAATAAACAAACATCAGGTGTAGACAAGAGTAAAAGGCACACTTTCACAGAAGACTTAAGTGCTTACCTGAGACACACAGTGCAAAACCAACTATAGCAATTATAAATCCAAGAAGTTTTAAACCTATCAGAGCCAATGTTGCCTGCAGCAGACTGTCAAAAACTGAGGAAAAAAGAAATAAAATTATAAAATTTAACTACAGAGATGTAAAATACAGGTAATTGCATAAAGGTAGAAATCAGATTCTCCTAAATTCTAAGCTCAGCCAACCAGCATGTTAACAAATCTACAAGTCACTGCAAGTCAAGGCTCCTGTACGTATACATAGACAAACAATTTTATTTATATATATATATATATATAAAATAACATTATAAACAAACTACAATTAGAAAAAATGGAACCCACATTCTCAGAGCCAATTATCCAACCCACTCCCTAAACCCAGGAAAGGTGAGCAGAAGTCACTGATGTGCCACCCTAAATTCACTGTTCAAGCAGGCAACTCCTACATCTTCTGTGAAGCAACTCAGCCCAACAAACACAGGCTAAACATTTTGTTTCAAGATACTGTATATGTGATGAACCCAGCGTGCTATTGTAGCACCTGTTTATAATATTTTGTAGATTATGGAAGTAGCTCAGTTTGTTTCAATCCATGTGTTAGTGAGTAAAGAAATACTCACCAATTCCAAACATGACGTACTGAAGGGGTACCAAAATCACAGCAGGGATTACAAGGAGGCCAAGACCAGCCTGATTCTCTACAGTATAGCCATCTGCAAACATTTATGTGGGAATCAGTAAAACCAAAACTGTTAACTGGATAAATGCATAAAGCAACAAACATAAATCACTGGCATCACCAAATTTCCCACTGAATGAACCACAAGTCACTCTCTAGTCCCTAATATTCACCCAAGGCAGTAGGACAGAAATTATACATAAATTTTGAGTCAGTATCTTCCTACGATCACTTGAGGGCCTGACAACCCCAATGCTGTTTCTGCTGTAGTCCGTATATTCTTTTTATTTAAATGGAAATTAATAGGTGGTACTAACTTACATACTATAGAATTGAAGACATTCTTTTCTGCTCCTATTCTCTTAAATTGAGAGCAATTTTAATCACTTACCTTGCATAAAAAGAGCAGCACCTACACCAACTAAAATTGCAAAGATGACAAGTGCTACAATAGTGCACACTTTCCTCTGAGATTCAATTTCATACTTTAAGCCTTAAAGAGACAGAGAGGAAAACAATCAGACACACGGATTCTCTCACTGAAATACACAGATTTATGACTTGGACTGTCCCTAAGGAAAGAAACTCAAACTCCTAAAATTTACAACTATATCCACTCCCAAGATTTAATTTGTTTTTATTAATTGATATGGTTAATATGGCTTACTCAGAAAAATGACACCTGGCATCAGAGTTCTAGTCAAATTCTTACTTTCGCCTTTCATGCAGTTCAGCTGATATGTTATCAGAATAAGTCTGGAACATGGTACAGGTTAATTCAGGTAGATGCACTGCTGATATTTAAATGTTACAGTAAATTTGTTACTCAGGTGGATGTCAAGAGAGGGATTAGAAATTCCAGATTTCATTCTCTTCTTTATGACACTGTGTGAGCTCAGACACATCACATCACCTCTGTCCCCAAAGGAACTTAAATCCTAAAAGTCAGTCCTGTAAACGAAAGTCACAAAAAGTCCACCTCAAACAACCAATACAACACCTCCCAATGCACAAAACCAAGAAAACAAACATTTACAAATAGTACACAGAAGAATCATGCCCAATTTAAAAACCTAATTAAAGGCATAAAGTATCATTGGTGGATTCCCAGGTTACCTAAAAGAGTAAAATTAAAAGGAAAAAAAAAATGCACCAACACAAAAAAATCCCAACAAGCAATAAGTGCACCCATATTTATGAAGCTAGAGATAGGACACCTCATTTCCCCACAGAAGCCAAGAATTTTCAATGAATTGCTCAGGTGCAAGAACATCCAAGCAAGCTAAAATTACTCTTATAAAATGATGGTCCCTCTCCATGAAATTATTTTCCTAAAAATGCTGTAAGTTCTGCTATGAAAGCAGGGCAATGACAGGCTCTGAACAGATCAGAGTTCCTATACCATTATAAAATACGAAAATCAGGAATATAACAATACAGAGATAAAATAATTTTTTAAAGTATGTATTAGTTTTCACGAAAAAGTAATAAAGGAAGTTATACATAGATAGCTGAATATGTATGTGATTATTACAAATCACCCTGAGTGCACTTACTTTCCATTTCTTACTGACTTGGTTCTTAACTGAAATGTTTCTTTTTTTTTCATTTGTTTACTTTTTAGAGGTCTAAAAATTGAAAAAGGCTAAAAAACTTCGAAGACCGAGGTAACAAATTGCACCATCTGAAAGACCAGGACATAAAGCACACTCTGCATGGCACAGATGTTGGACAATAGTGTATAAACATCTACGGATGTCTGTCACTGGAAAATTGATGTATTGCCTCTAAAAACATTTAACAAAAGCACCGATGTCAGTGTTAAATTATAACTAAGCCAGTGCTAAAAGATTAATGAAAAGATTTACATTAAGAAGAGAGCACACCATCCTTCTATCATATTGATTTTATGGCCATATAATGAAACATTTTTGAATTATTCAATAATGTCATGGTGAATCAACTGTGAAGAAAAGCTCCACACATACCACGCCTCTGTGTATTATCTGGATCAATTTCCACACATCTTTTAGATGTGAGTATCACCTTTCATTTTACATGGGTGCCTTTATGCATGGAAGTGATTTCAGGACAATCAGCAACTGCAAAGAATTAAAGAGCAAATACTTACCAATAAAAGTTAACTGAGCTGCACATAAAATAACAAGGAAGCACACCAATGATATGATGACAGCCTTCTCCATTAGAAGGAACCATGATCCTAGTGAATAAACAAAGAAAAATAGTAAGAAGAGAACAAAAACTAAGCCTATTTGCTTTGCATTTATCATTCCTCTTAGGCTATGCTGTAGATTGCTCAATACTATATGAAATTCAGCATTAAGAATTATAATAGGCTAAGAAACCTACGTCCTCTACCTTTGTATTTTTCTATGTGACAACCTACTTTTTCAGCACTTCCAGCCATCCCAGTATTTTCCAAACTGGAACTATTAACTTCCACTGGAGCAGAGAATATGCCAGTGCTAATTTGTGGCACTACAAGCTACTGAACTTGTGGAACAACAAAAAATCTCTGTAAATCAGAAAAAACCCCCAGTATTTAGGGTAAGCAGAGAAGATATGAAAGGATCAATCTGATGCCTCCTCAGCCATTCTATCCTACCTTCAATGGCAGTAACTCCAAAAGAAATCTGGATGTGTGGTAAGGAATACATGAGCTAGCCAAATGAGAGGGAAACAATTTGAAGTCCTCCCCACATCATCCATCTAGATTTTTTTCCCCTGCATTTTGGATGCCATAGGCTGTTCAGTCAGTCATGCTTTAAGACCCTGTAAGCCACCTTCCAACATAAAATTCTGAAAATATCTCCACTGAACTAGAAAATGCAGTTAATTCTTGCATCTCTGCTCATGTATTTATTTAGGCTCACTCAGTGGAACCCAAAGTCTCCATTTCTTACATTATACTTTCCACCATTACTCTGTCTGCACATTTCCTTCCAAAGAAATTTCTAATCTTTACTAAGATGCATTTGTTGCATTGTTCTCCATACATAAAAGTGGTATCTGTTGCTCCAGAAACATGTAATTATGCAGCAATACCTCACAATTTTAAATGCCAATTAAATACCCTGAGGGCAGCTTCAAAGTTCACAAATTTCCCTCTTTCCCTCCCCTCCTCCCACAAGAGGCCACAGAAGTAGATATAGCGCATACAACAGAAATACAAGGCAAACATTAAGCTGAAGGCAAGAAAATGGAGAAATTGCTTCTAACTTATAACTCACTGTCCTGCTTTGAAAAGGAAGTGAGTTTTTTTGGAGTTTGGTGGTCAAACCAATGGGTGCTCAGATTTGAATACTGGCACCTGGTGTGGCCACTGAGGACATGGATACACCTCTGAGAACACGGGGGTTAAACGCAGAGAACTCCCAGGAAAACTCTCTCTTGGTTCTGGTGGGTGAAAAAGGTCAGAGGTCCCCTGGGGGACCAGCTGGGCGTTGGCAAGGGGAGCGGAAGCCATGCAGCCGGGTGAGGTAGGCTGGGCCTTGGGCACACAAGGGAGGTGAAGGCCTCTGGAAGGGCGGAGCAGCACAGAGAGAGCGCAAGGAGAGAGAGAGACAGAGCGCTTGGGCCATCTTGAAATTTGATATCACATGCTGGCAGCGTGGCCTGCGGAAAAGGAGGGGGGGGTAGGGGTGAATTTGGGGGGGGACAGGTGTCCCTAAAGTGAGAGACTGCGCTTTTTTTGAAACTGGGCAAAGCATCCTTAAAAGGAGAACCCTAGAAGCAGCTCTGGTCCATGCACAGTGGTGAGAGCACTGTACATGGAAGGGAGATGTCACGATGACAAATGATCTCCGGGTTGTGCCACGTGTGACATGGAAACACAAGAGGTCTCAACTGTGTTTCCAGGGGAAGCCTATGGTACAAGAGGGACTCCTCACTCAATGATGAACTGAGAATTGATTATCTGAAGGATAGTGATGGATTGAGATTTGGTGATCTGAGGGTGGTTACTGAATTGAGAAGCCAAGGTTTTGTCCTACTGTGGTGTATTGGAAGTTTGGTGGGGGAAGGAGGAATGTTTTTGGAAGGTTTTCATTCTGACCTCTGTGTGTGTTTCTTTTTACGTATAGCTGTAGGTTAGTAAAGTTTTTTTTCTTTATTTCTAAGCTGGAGCCTGCTGTGCTCTATGTCTGACCACATCTCACAGTAGACACCAGGGAGATATATATTCATGGGGGCACTGGCATCGTGCCAGCATCAAACCATGACACGCACCAAACAAGGTTGATTCACTGAATTGTTTGATGCAAGGCTTTTTGCTTTATCCGCAATATTGAAAAAGCAACTGATATTGAACAGTAACTTGTAATGCACAGTGGCTGCTCCCTAGATAAGCCAAATCCCAGTGATGCTGTTTGATGCAACTGCAAATAATTAAATAACTGCAAGCAGAGACTCTGAGAGCCACTTCACTTCCTCTGCAGCACTTCCAGCTGACATCATCCAGCGTAAAGAGAAAGCAACCAAGAAACTGGGGCTTCAGCATGCAACACAGAATCATGTGTGGTCCTTGAGTCTGAAAGAATTTCCTGCACAGAAGAGTTTGCAATACTGCAGACACATGCAACATGCAATGAAGAGGCTGAAATGAAAATGCTGAAAGCATTTTCCTGGAAATACACTTCCCTTACTCTGGTGCTTCACAGTAATCAACTGAACTCCTGGCATAAAGCAGTGCTTTGAGAGCCAATATAGGGCAGCCCGTTCCAAGCTAAGAAGAGAGACTTCCAGACTGGGGAAAGAAGAGTGAAGAGAAGAGTAAAGGGAAAGAAAACAGGGGGAAAAGCCAAGGAAGAAATGAAATGAGACGGACGATGAAATAAGAGAAGCAAAAAAGCAGCAAGAAAAAAGATGAAAGATGATGAAGAGAGGAAAATGAAATAGTGAATGAAAACTTGACAGTCACTCTCCTGATCAGGAAAGTGTGTCTGCGCACAAAGACGAGGGCACTTGTACAGAAATCTTGCTCACACTCTTACTGCCTAGGTGAATCCAGGGATTCTTTAAGAGAGATGGAACAGCTGCCTCTTGTATGACTATCTTTGTCGAAGCCTCAATTGGAACATGCTAGTAGTGACAGCATGAATTCATTGCTCAGAAATGATGCAGTGAAGACTGGTACAGGATTTCCATTATCCACTAACCCTTTTCAAAATTCAGTCACTAAAACTTTCTTCGATTAGCTTATTGTCTCAAGAGTTTCTCTAGAACACTGAGGAGGAGCAAGCAACAAAAAGTTGTGCAGAAGAACAGAGAGAGAGCAAGCGACGGTTTTCCTTCACCCTCAAACCTAAGTTTTATGTTTTCTAGCATATACTTTCAAACCTAATGCAACCTCAAGAGTTTTTCACTAACCACATTTCTCCGATGTTTCGTCGTCGCAACTGTCAACTAGAAAATGAAATTAGAAAAATTATATCAGTTTCCTGCTCTGATGTCTTTATACCGATTTCTTAATTATAAACACAAAGAAAATAAAACTTGCAAATGGGACTTGATTCTCCTACATTCTCAAGCCTTGCTTCCTCTTCTGGAGAGTAACACTGAATTGCATAAACAGTCAAAAAAGTCTGAGTAAGCTGTAAGAGAATGAAGGAAACAGAAGCCACATGTACCTCTTTCCTGTTTTTGCAGCATTCTAAGAAAAGAATGATATTCTAGCATCTTCCCTTTCAGTGACTGTGCCCTTCTCAATTTCAGGATCACGTCTGCTATGCAGGGTATATGGTTAACTCAACAACTAGATCCAAATGAGAATTACACAAATGCCTGCAGGAGGACACAACATCTGTTTGAGCTTCACAAATATTTTATTGTGAAGTGCGAAAACTAATAGCAAAACCAAAAAAAATTCTGGAGTGTGTGGGTAAGGCTCCGTGTGCCTATGGAACACATTCAGTGCTTCTGAGCAGCTCTCCAGAGGCAAGTCTCTGTGCAAAACAGATGAACAGGGCACACCTACGTCCAGTGAAACTGTCACATCTGCACAGCACTGGACAGATGACACAAGTACAGCAGAACCCATTATCCAACAGCTGAGGTGCTGGAGAACGTGGGCTGGGACTGACAAGATAAAGTAAAACAGCTCTCTAGATGAGAAATTCATTTAGTGAATCTCATTCATTTCAACATCACTTTCAACACCATCTTTTGAAGACGACATTTAATGCTAGAAAACGGCAGCAAGTTGTCATCTAGCAGTAGCATTTTCAACCTCGCTAGAAAACCGCCAACTTTCAGACTGAGTTTTAGAGCTCTTAAAACAGAATTTCTATTAGTTCTACCTGTAGTTTTCCAGCAGAGTTAAAGGTTGCAAGAAGCAATTCTTCCAAGAAAAGATCTCTGCAGACACTGTGATGGATGTATACATTCCAGTATTATGAAACTGATCAGAAATATGTCACACAATAACATTAGACTGCTGAATATATCAACATCTACATAATCAAAAATATGTGGTAAAACATAGATTTTCCTATATAGGACCTAAATCATGCTCAGACATTATTACAGAATGAAAAAATGTGTTCAGATCTTTCCCATGGAAGAACACCCCTCTAACTTAAACCTAAATAAGCCATATTAGCTTACAAGTTAAAAGGCCTGGGTGCTACATATTTTACATTTCACTTTAAAGGATCACATTGCCATGTTCATTATTTTCTCTTTCCCTTAAGATTTTGTTTGTTTTCCCCTTCCAATAGGTTCTGAAACAATAGCAGGCAACTCACCTGAGCTGTTTACAAGTTGCATTCTTATTTTTCCTTCTCTGTTTGATTCTGTTACTTTACAGCTGTAATTTCCAACAACTGCTTGTCGACTGTCAATCGCCAGCGAGGCCACACCCTTGATTAATTCTGATGGGGATAGAAGTCTTGCAGACGAAAATGAGGGATGACGATTAATGTTCTTGGTTCCTCCATGATAAGAAAAAATTATAACTCCTTGACTTGTCCATGTAACAAACATGAATTTTTCACTGTTCTGGATTAGATTAGTCGCATAACAAGGCAAAACTACGGTTCTATTACAGTCATTTTTTTCTATAATACTCGTCCCAGAAAGTGTCAACTGGGCAGAACCTACAAAAAAAATGAAAATGGACATATTCAGAATTATTTCTTAATACTCAAAAACAAAGAAATAATTATAAGTGAATTGGGAAAACAAAACAAACTCTCCCGTGAAACCACAAAAAGAGAATCATGCTTCAAGGGATCAACAGAAGATGAATAAAAAGACATTATAATAATTCTACTTACTACACAATTCGAATTCTACACAAACTCAAGCCATTCTCACCATAATTTAATATATAGATATGATAACCCATCATCCACTTGAAAAAAAAAATTTGGGTTGCCATTTATTTACTCGGACACTTCTATTTCACAAGGGGAAATTCTGTCTGGTTTCTGCAAAACCTACAGATAACATTAACCATAGACTGTGCCATTGATGTTCAGTTTTTTGCTGCTGATCACACAATACAAACTGAGGTCCAGCCATCAGCTCCACCCAAGCTCCCTTTACAGCTCATTAAGAACACAGGGAAGAAAGTCTCATTATTACACTTCTGAGAAAAGGCAGGCAGGGCAGCTTAGGCAAGAAAGCTTTGTCACTTGTTCCCTCTCATCTCTGAAGGTGGAGCCAAATGCCCATAGGTTTAGATCACTTCTTGCGAATTCTCTTTTCCTTTCCAGTGAAGACCGTGCACACACAATACCAGATATGAAATAAGATTACTACTTAGCATTTCACTGCATACACAACAAAATGGAAAATGGAGAATTTGTAAAAATCACCAACCTGTAGTACAAATCACCATGACTAATGTCTCTAACAATCACATTCAATGCAGGTGAGGAAAAATAAACACCTCAAAGGATTACGTTACCATTGCTGGGTTTTCCCATCTCCCTCCCACATGGCACCACAGTTCTAAAACAGTACTACTGACTGACAACTGTTTCAAGACGGACCTCAGCCCTATGCCAAGACTTAATCAGAAATGAAGATTTATTCACTAGCTCTTAAGAATATAAAAAATTGTAACAGCACTATATAAATTACACCAGAAACCAGAAAAAACGGGTTAATTAAACTAGCTTGGATGTACGCTATGAGGGCTTTGAATATTTTATTTTCTTTATTTTTCCTTGTTTGTATGAAATCATAACGAAGTTTAATCGCTTTTTTCATAGTAATTGCTCCCCAAAGTCCCAGAGCCATTAATAATTCAAAATGCTTTACTACATCCATCTGATAAAACCAAATATGGGAAAGGATATGAAAATCCCCTAATACTGTAAGCACTGAGACTTACAAACTGGAATAGCTGCAGAAACTTCAGGGAAACTACCTATATTCACATGTATAAAACCAACTCAGAATGATGATATGTATTTAACGACTAAACTTAATAAGGGCAAGGGGAGAAAGAAAAAAAAAAGGGAAAGGGAAAAAAAAAGTTATGTCACTATTTGCAGTAGCTCTTTAATTTTCTTCCCCTCAAATCAAGAGTCTCAGATCACATTTAAAAAGAAATCCACTCCTGTTTTAAATATTGCTTTAATATTCTAACACTATTTCCTGGATTACTACTGAATAACAAAAGCTTAAAATAAACTGGCTCTGTATGTATTATGCATGACGGCGTTTCGCAATGAGGAAGAAGTATTCTCTGGTTTACTCATTGTGTTGCATTTTTAAACTAATAAAAGTAACAAAGGCAGGACAAAAGAGTCATCCACAAACCTCAACCTATGTCCTAATAAACATCAAACATATACAATTAAAACCTTCAATGGTTCTTTGTGAAATAAATTTCACATCTGTTTCACACTAAATCACGATAAAAACTGCTGGAATTTTTCCTCTTTTTCAGAGCCAGCACATTCACATTTTCGCGGGCTCAGTCCTCTGCGACCCGGCAGCTTTGACGGAAGAGGTTGTGTGGCTGCCCTCCCACTGAAGGGAGCCCCTTCAGCAGCGCAGCCTTCAGGAAGCCCCACTTCCTGCAGATGGTTCTTCCACTACCGACTTCCCAACGATTCTGCTGCTAAGAGGAAGCCAAGAGAAGCCTCTCCCACCAGTTACCAAATCCTGCAGGCAATGGATTACTGGGTGGGCTCTTCGCCTCCAACTTTCTCGTAGGTTATCATCTTACAGGCGTCACATGAAGGTGGCAATTTTAGAGCCTTACACTACGCAGCGTGGGGGCTTCTGAGGAACTCGCAGTTGCGAAGCTGCCACAGAAAGGCTCTGCACATGCAGAGCAAATTCAGAACTGCTGCACACAGTTGGCAGAGCTGGTTAAGTGTGGTCACTGCACCTGATGGGAGCCGGCCCTTCTCACCTCCTCATGCAAACCACGCTGGGGCACTCGACATTTAAGTCAGTCTACGGCTAACTCCGGAACCCAGACTGGGATTTCGACATGAGGTTTAAACACGCAAGTTTCGATGTGCCGCTTACTGACAGAACAACACTACAGCACCTGCACCTCGGTGAAATCTTTTTAGCTCTGTCCCTCCCACTGAGTTTCTTCTCAAGGCAGAGAAATAAGAATTTAAGACTCTGCAATGTCAACTGCACTTCGATGGCACACAAACCTATTAAAGATGAAGAAACGCCGCTAACCCCAGACCCTTTGCAGCGAGGGACCAGCGCGGCACTTCAGGAAAGCACAGGGAGCTGAGCTGCCCTAATGCACAGGGAGGTGAGGAGCAAAGCTCTGAGCACGCTGTCTCTCCTCTCCTCTCCCCCGCAACTTCTGAGGGGAGCAGCCCACCGCCGGCCCCGGGGACAATGCGGGAAGCCGCGGGGGCTGGATAACAGCGTGTGTTGCGTGTGTGTGTGTGTGTGTCCCCGCTC